GAGGGAATACTTTCGGCCAGGACTTTCTGAAAAGGTGAACGCTGGCGCGATGCAGGAACGAATCAAAGGCACATTAATAAATCACGAATGAGGAGGGAAAACAAGATTAAAAGATTTTATTTTTATAAATAAATTAACGAGTAAAAGGAAAATATGAAGGTTGTTAAAAATCGAAAATTATTAGAACGTTGTTAAAAATGAAAAATTATTAGAGGAACTAAAAAACTAAAAAACATTAGACGAAGATTTTTTTGTTAAAAACTAAAAAACATTAGACGAAGATTGTTAAAAATCAAAAATTATTAGAGGAACGTTGTTAGATGTAAAATATATTGGACGAAGGTTGTTAAAAATCAAAAATTATTAGAGGAATTTTGTTAAAAACTAAAAATTGTTAGACGAAGGTTGTTAAAAATCAAAAATTATTAGAGGAAGGTTGTTAAAAACTAAAAATTATTAGACGAAGATTGTTAAAAATCAAAAATTATTAGACGAAGATTGTTAAAAATCAAAAATTATTAGAGGAAGGTTGTTAAAAACTAAAAATTATTAGACGAAGATTTTTAAAAATCAAAAATTATTAGAGGAAGGTTGTTAAAAACTAAAAATTATTAGACGAAGATTGTTAAAAATCAAAATCAGTTCCTTTTCAGTTGAGCAAACTTTTATCAGACATGAGTTGGATAAATTCTTCGATTATTCTTGTTCGTGTTTGCTTTTGTTTCATTCTATTTTGAATGACATTAAAGGTAAAGTAACTTTTTTCGATTTCTTTTGTCTCTCTTGTTATTTATCCTATAACAAATTACGGTTGAAAAAAACTTGTTAAAGAGAAAGATAAGAATTACTTGAATAGCCTCGTCTCGAGATGTTTCGGAGTTGACAATGGAAATTCTAATAAAAAACATTTTCAATTTTTCAAGTCATTCTGACTGAAATTGAACTGATGTTTCCTTCTGGCAGACTTGATTTCTATAATCCCCCTTCTAAAACCTGTAAGAAACAGATTTTTTCTCAGTTTGAGATTATGTACTCTCAATTAAATCGACCTATTCCTTCCTCTTTTGACAAAGGTTCTAAGATTACAAGCCAGACTAAGCTAATGAATATATTTCACTCACTGCTAAGCAGGATTTTCTTGTGCGGCGAAGCATTCATTTTCAGACCATAAAATCTTTGAAGTCAAGAAATGACGTGTACATGACTAAGCCTTGATAAGGGTTCTGACGTTGTCATCTCAAACAGGCAAGATTATTTGGATAAGATGGCTATTATTTTGAATGATTCCTTCAATATGGTCGCTGCTGCTAGTACGTGTGATAATATTAGTAAGGCTGAAGCAAGAACCCAGAGATGGCTGCTTTCAGCGCACATGAACATTCTGATCTCCAAGGGTGTTTATGATAGGGTTAGACCTGTCGGGTCTCAACGGCCCAGAACGTATGGACTCCCAAAAGGGGCATAAGCATAATGTACCACTTAGACACATTTTATCTATGGTAGAACCTGTGCAGCATAAGTTGGGCCAATGGTTGTTTGAACTGCTTCAGCCGGAATCTGATTTTTTTTTCAGCACATAATATCTCTGACTGTTTCCGGTTTTCAAATTTCATTAGACATTGAGTCGGAAAATAAAATGATAGAGTCTTTTAACATCATCTTCCTGTTTACAAATGTGCCTCTTCATGAAACCATTAATATATGTGCCGATACTCTTTATAGAGGTAATTTGGGTCCAGCTAGTATTCCTGAAAACTTGTCTTTGCAATGTATGCGTCTGGCAACTGAAGGTGTGGAATTCAGTTTCAACGATATTATGTATGCCCAGAAAGACGGTACTGCAATGGGTAGTCCTTTGGGTCCCATACTGGCGAATATTTTCGTAGGTTTTTCATGAGGGACTTTTGTTTGATAAATTCCGTAAACTCTACGTTTATATACGGTACGTTGATGAGACCTTTTCTAATTTTGATTCTGCTGGAGACGCCACTGTCATTTTTGTGGAACTCAGTTCTCTCCATCCATACCTTCAGTTTACTATGGGAGTTGAGAATGATGGTACTTTACCCTTTTTAAATATTCTCGTAGTAAAAGGGGATGTTTTTGTCACCACTATCTTTCGTAAACCCACTTTTACCGGCTTGTACACAAGTTCGTTGCATGTAGTTCAGCAATTCAGACCAAGTTACCAATCTAGTACTACGCTTAAAGTCACGTCGGAGAGGAAGCGACTGAAGTTGAGATTGAGTTGATATCGAACCAACCTCTCCCTCTCTCTCTCTCTCTCTCTCTCTCTCTCTCTATCTATCTATCTATCTACCTATCTATCTTGGTATATATATATATATATATATATATATAAATAATTATTTATTTAAAAATATGATTCCAACTCGCAACATAAGAGGTCTCATGTTTCAAAACAAGAGCCGAAAACTTCAATATAATTATTTGAATTAAATTGAGTTAAAGTAAGCTCTGTTCCATCTTCAAGCGAATTTTTTTTTGGAATAACGTATTTCTGAAATTTACGTGTTTTAATAATTGAAATCAAAATTTCCATGGTAACAGCTAGGGTGAATTGTTTAAATTGGGTAGGCGTGTGTTGGGTGTTAATAATAAGTATCAGTATAGAGTTACTTTCATAGATGTCAAGTCAGGGTAAGGTGGGGGTGTCTAAATTTGAAACGGTTACGTGTCTATGGAGATTTATTTATTTTAATAGATTATTATTTAGAAATTTATATTATTGAAATTCAAATAATTTGAATAATTATATTGAAGTTTTCGGCTCTTGTTTTGAAACTTGAGACCTCTTATGTCGCGAGTTGAAATCATATTTTTAAATAAATAATTATATTTATGCTCTATTTTTGTATCGAGCACTATTTTTAAAAATAATAACTAAAATACTAAGGAACTTTGGATTATTTACCTAACCAGTTCTTTCCTTTTTCTATATATTTTTCTCTCTCTCTCTCTCTCTCTCTCTCTCTCTCTCTCACACACACATATATATATATATATATATATATATATATATATATATATATATATCTCAAACACTAATGTTCCATTGTTATAATCTAATACATTAGAATCATAATCACGATCAAATTCGTCATACCTACAAATTAAAAAAAAAAAAATATTGGATCGTGATTATGATTCCAATGTAATAAATTATAACCATGGAATATTAGTGTTTGAGCATTTTACATTATATTCTTGCGTTTTCCTGGACATTGAGCTCTACCTGGATTCTATCCTCTTGGAAATTATATATATATATATAGGAAGAGGAAGTGACTGAAGTTGAGATTGAGTTGATATGGAACCAACCTCTCTCTCTCTCTCTTATATATATATATATATATATATATATATATATACTATTTACATTATTCGGACTATCAACTCTTTGGGTCCTGTCACTAGATCTAAACAACACCATGTTTCCTTAAGAACTAATAAAATAAATAATAAATAAATTTTATCTTTCTTAGTACACGACTTATGTCTTCTTGAAATTTCAAAATAGCACGAGGCTTACGGCCATATCTCGTTGAAACGACGATTCCTGTACGATCACCAAACTTAAGCAACGTCGAGCCTGGTCAGTACCCGGATGGATAACTGCTAGGAAATACAACGTGTTATAAGCTTGGACATGTGAGTGGTGTCGTAGATAATGGCTCGGAATTGTTAATCGGAGAGCTGAGTTCTAATTCCCATTAGATTTCATTACGCGCAAATACCCTTGAGAATACCCTGATCTCCCTCCCCCCCCCAGTTATGGAGAAAAGACTTACAATCTTAAAATATTTTCTGATTGTAAATAATCTACATTAGGTTGATAAGCCGTAAAAACGAATCAATCAGTCAACAAATCGAAATATCACCATTTGCAAAATTGCTTTCTAAGAAGTTGATGTCTGGTTGTCTTATATATGGAATTATATGGAGGAAAACACTGCGGCTTTTTTTTCTATTTCCGATAATATAATAAATCTTCAAATCTTGACATGGATTAGTTTTTAATCATTTCACACCAAAGAACGCGCGTCCTGGGTAAGACGATAAACTACACCCACGTCCTGGGTAAGACGATAAACTACACCCACGTCCTGGGTAAGACGATAAACTACATCCGCGTCCTGGGTAAGACAATTAACTACATCCGCGTCCTGGGTAAGACCATAAACTACATCCGCGTCCTGGGTAAGACGATTAACTATATCTGCGTCCTGGGTAAGACGATAAACTACATCCAATAGCAAGGCTTTTGATCAGGATTGATTGAGGAGCGTGGAACCACGTCTTACCTGCTGGTGTCCACCTTGACCCGGGGTGGTAGCACCTATCAGGGTCCCAGCTATGGGCAAATAGTTAAACCCCACAAAAGGGAACAAAACACTTCCAAAGTGTAAAAATAGGTATTAATACCAGCAAATTTTGGAAAAGATTATTACCAGCAATAAATTTTTGAAAAAAATATTGCCAGCAATAAAAATCTTGTCAGCATTAAATAACCCATTGAGATGTTGATATGCCGTAAAACAAACCAAATCAAACCAAACCAGACCAAGCAAGTTGATAATGAACTAAAACAGTCTACATCAGTGAGCGAAATAAAGAGTTCAGTTCGATATTCCAACTACCTGAAGAAGGTCAGAGCGTACAACGGCCGAAACTTTGTAATAGATATGGCGGCAAGGATGAGTATAATAGTACGAATAATGTAAATAGTGTACATAATACCTCATCTCAGAAATATAGACAGATATATGTGTGTGTGTTTGTGTGTGTGTGTGTGTGTGTGTGTCTTTGTGTCTGTACGTGTATTACACAATTTTTGCATGAAAAAATGAAAATAAAAAAATAGTAAAAACATTAGAGTTTAGGCTGAAACGTTAGAAAGGGGAGGAGGGTGAAAAGGGACGATTAGGTATTGTTGAGTAAAGAACTTTGATCGAACCTCGTAATTCGGAAAATTAATGTATTTTATTCTATTTGTTACAGGTTTCTTAATTTTGTTCCTATCCTGAAAACTATTTTATAAGATCACTGACCTTATTCCTCAAACTATCCGCATAATTCTGAAAATAATATATTTTAAGTAATTGGCTTCAAACTTCTTTTGTAGAATAGGTAAACTTATTTTATCCATCAGCCTTTGTTATTAAGAACAGAATTAAATTTGCTTTACTTTGCTATCTCTTTCGTATATATTCTCAAGCATGTTTTATAAAAGTGAATACGTTATTTCTGAGTAACAATCGTAATTTTAAAGATACACTTACTTAATTTTATAATTTTGAAAGAAGTATACACTTAATTTTATTAGATCATTGCAAAAATCTGTGCCCGATTAAAAAATTAAAAACAAAATTTTACATACTTACAAAAAACATTTATTAGTCAAGTAAATTGTTTCCATTTTTTTTAATATCCCAAAATTCTAAAATCTTGTTAATGCCATTTTCGTAGAAACTTCGTGATGTTTTCTTCGTTTTGTGGTAATCTTTGACTGACTGTAGAGAGTCAAATCCTTTCTCATATAAATTGTTCCGGAGTGACCGGAACAAAAGAAAATCCGTAAGTAACCAAATTAGGAGAATACGGGGGTGAGTAGTGAATTTCCATTTCAACTCTTCAAACTTGTGCAAGGTCTGTATTGCAACATGCTATCTTGCGTTGTCGTGATGGAAAATGGTACCATTTCGATTTTCTTGAACCTAACTCTCTTCAAATGGCGAAATATATCGATTAGCAACCACTCCCGTCGAAATGTTCGGTTTATTCACCAAGATTGGATGATCGTTTAAGTTAAAGTCCCCCCTGACGAAATCTGCCAAACCACTTTTTGAATGTCCGAAGAGCATGTTTCAATTTGGGAATTTTCTTCATTTTCCTTCTTTCGTGTTTCAGTCCTGGGATTTTCTTCATGTTTAATGTTGGAATTTTCTTCATTTTCCTTCTTTCATGATTCCGTCCTGGGATTTTCTTCATGTTTAATGTTGGAATTTTCTGCGTTTTCCTTCTTTCATGTTTCAGTCCTGGGATTTTCTTTATGTTTAATGTTGGAATTTTCATCATTTTCCTTCTTTCATGTTTCACTTCTGGGATTTTCTTCATGTTTAATGTTGGAATTTTCTTCATTTTCCTTCTTTCATGTTTCACTTCTGGGATTTTTTTCATGTTTAATGTTGGAATTTTCATCATTTTCCTTCTTTCATGTTTCACTTCTAGGATTTTCTTCATGTTTAATGTTGGAATTTTCTTCATTTTCCTCCTTTCATGTTTCAGTCCTGGAATTTTCGTCATGTTTAATGTCGGAATTTTCTTCATTTTCCTTCTTTCATATTTAATGTTTGTATTTTGTTCATTTTCCTTCATGCATGTTTTAATCTTGGGATTTTCTTCATTTTTCTTCTTTTATGTTTAATGCTGGATTTTCTTCATTTTCCTTCTATCATGTTTTAGTTTTGGGATTTTGTTTATTTTCCTTCTTTCATTTTTTTCCGGCTGGAATTTTCTTCATTTTCTTTCTTTCATGTTTTAATTTTCTTAATTTTTCTTCTTTTATATTTTAATTTTGGGATTTTCTTCATTTTCCTTTTTTCATGTTTTAATGCTGGTATTTTTTTTTCATTTTCATTCTTTTATATTTTAATCCTGGAACTTTCTTCATTTTCTTTCTTTCATGATTTACTGCTGGGATTTTCTTCACTTTCCTTCTGCCATGTTTTAATCTTGGGATTTTTCATTTTCCTTCTTTCATATTTATTTCTAGGATTTTATCATTTTCTTTCTTTCATGTTTTAATCCTGGGATTTTCTTCATTTTCTGTCTTTCATATGTTAATACTGGGATTTTCTTCATTTTCCTTCTTTCATGTGTTACTTTGATTTTTCTTTCTCATTTTATTACTGTTCGTCAGGTTTTTCATCATATTCTATAGCTGCATTTTTCTCATTTTGCTTTGGTTTTTCTTGCCTTCTTTTTTTCTGTTTTTTCTTCTCTTTTTTTCTTTTTCATTATTCATATATTTTTGTTTGTTTTTTTTAATTTCTACTTATTTTTCTTTATACAAATTTCTTTATTTATTTTTATTTTTTCAAACATTTTTCAATGTCTTTTCTTTTTCCCTATGCCTGAATTTGTCATCCTTTTTTTTCTTTCTTTTTTTTTCTTTTTTGTAAACCATTTTCTTTCACTTCTCTGTCCACAAAAAAAAAATCAAAAAGACGGTTTTTCTCTTAATACAGCTATTATTTTAATTATCTTCACTCCCTCGGCAATGTTTATTGTTTTAAAAATAAAATGTTTAGGTTGGTATTCATGTTGGGATTTTCAAGTATTTGTGGTAACGTACCGTTTATTTATTTGTAACTCGTTAATAAATTACGTATATTTTTACAAAAGGAACGAATTTTATTTTAATTTTTGTATTTTGTATTTATGGCTACGGATTCTAGTATATGTAGTCTTTTTTTTATATTTCATGTGTTATAGTATTTTTATCTTCAGTATCTGTCTATATTTCTGAGGTGAGGTATTATGTACACTATTTACATTGCTCGGACTATCGTCCTCATCTTTGTTGCCATATTTATTACAACGTTTCGACCGCTGTACGCTCCGGCCTTCTTCAGGTGCTTGGAATGTCGAACTGAACCCTTTATTTTACTCCCTGGGGTAGACTGTTCTAGTTCCACGTGCCATGTCTAATGTATGTCAGTTATCAGTTATCTCCTGTTAATTCCCCTCTCCAAGTCCTCCTTAACCCGGTATTGAACTCACAACACTTTGGCTCCTGTCACTGGATTTAACCAACGCCTTTATCCACTGTGCCATGTGTGCTTGAGAAAATAAAAGGTTCAGTTCGACATTCCAACCACCTGAAGAAGGCCGGAGCGTGTAACGGCAGAAACTTTGCGATAAATATGGCAACAAAGATGAGGATGATAGTCTGAGCAATGTAAATAATGTATTTTTCTCTTATTGATAAATATTTAGCGGATAGTGTTTTATTGATGTGTTCGTTTAATTGGTCAATTATCGGATAAATGGTGTGATAATGCAATGATTGTGTAAACTATATGTTTAAATCATGATTATTGGGGAGACATTATCGAAGAGGAATGGCGAATTAGTAGACATCATTGGCTTATTTCTTTTTTAGTTCTTTTATTTTCTTTTTTTTTCCCTCTTTTGCATTCTTTCTTCATTTCTTTTATTTTCTTTCTTTTTCGCCCGTCTTTCTTTTGCATTCTTTCTTCATTTCTTTTTTCTTTCATTTTTTTTTACATTCTTACTTTATTTGTTTTCTTTTCTTTCGTTTATCTCCCATCTTTCTTTTGCATTTTTTCTTTATTTCTTTCTTTTCTTTTATCTTTCTTTTACATTCTTTCTCAATTTCTTTTATGTTCTTTCTTCATTCTCCCACCTTTCTTTTCCAATCTTTCTTCATTTCTTTCTTGTTTTCCCTCATCTTTCTTTTCCATTCTTTCTTCATTTCGTTTCCATTCTTTCTTCATTTTTCTCTTGTCTTTCTTTTAAATTCTTTCGTTTCGTTTCTTTTCTTTCTTTTTTCACTTATTTCTTTTGCATCCTTTCTTCATTTCTTTATATTTTTCTCTCATCATTCTTCATTTCTTTTCTTTCTTTTTCTCTCATCTTTCTTTTGCATCCTTTCTTCATTTCTTTATATTTTTCTCTCATCATTCTTCATTTCTTTTCTTTCTTTTTCTCTCATCTTTCTTTTGCGTCCTTTCTTCATTTCTTTTCTTTTCCTTCATTTGTTTCTCTCATCTTTCTTTTGCATTCTTTCTTCATTCTTTTTTATCACATCATTCTTTTATATTATTTCATCATTTCTTTCATTTTTCTCTCATCTATCTATTAAATGCTTTCTTCAATTCTTTTCTTCATTTTTCTCTTATCTTTCTTTTACATTCTTTCTTCGTTTCTTTTCTTTCTTTTTTCTCTAATCTTTCTTTTGGATTCCTTCTTCATTTATTTCTTTTTTCCTATCTTACTTTTGCATTCTTTATTTCATTCTTATTTCTTTTATATTCTTTCTTTATTCCTCTTTTCTTTCTTTTTCATTCTTTCTTCATTTCTTTCCTTTCTTTTTCTTTTCTTTCCTTATTTCCCTTTTTCTTCTTTTTCATTCTTCCTCTCTGCTTTTTTTTTGTTCTTCTTTACTTTTTTTATTCTTTAATTATATTTTATTTCATTTCTTTCTTTGTTTCTTTCTTTTCATCATTTCTTTTCTCTTTCTTTTTCTTTATTGTTCATGTCCACTTTGTCTTTTATTTTATTTTTATTCCTTTCTGTTTTTTTTTGTTTCTTTGTTGCTCCCTTTACTTTTTTTTTTCTTTCCTTTCTTTTAATTTTTCTTTCCTTTCTTTTTTTTTCCTCTTTCTTTGATCTTTCTTTGTTTCTTCTTTAATTGTTATTCGTATTTTTATTTTTATTCCTTTTTTTTATTTTCTAATTTTCTGTCCATACTTTCATTTTAATTTTACTTTCTTTTTTTTTTATTTTTCTTTCTTTTTTTTAATTCATTTCTTTTTGTTTCTTACATTCTTGTTTCATTCTTATTTTTTTTTTATTTCTGTTTCTTTGTTTCCTACCTTTGCTTTCATTTTTTCTTTTCCTTTTTTATTTGCTGTTTTTTGTTTCTCTTCTTCCTTCATTGATTTTCTTCTTTATTGTTTTTTTCTCTTTCTTTTCTACCTCATTTTTTATTTAGTTTGTTTTTCATTCTTTTTTGCTTTACTTTCTCTCTTTCTTTGTTGTTTTCTTCCTTTCTTCTTCTTTATCATTTTTTCTTTTGTTTCTATCTCTTTTTTTGATTTTCTTTCTTTTTTATGTTTCATTGTTTAAATTTTCTTTCTTTGTTTTTATGTTTCTTTTTCCATCTTTTATTTTATTTCTTTATTTCATTTTACTCCTTTCAATCTTGTTTCATTCGTATCTTGTTATTTCT